AAATAACTTTTATAACCCCGTTCACTTGCGTCATTTTTTTGGTCAGGAGTAGAGCCCTGCACGGGCCTAAAATCTGAGCCCGTGTCCGGCCCGAGGGGGTGGAGCCCCAGCCCGACCCGGTCCGAGAAGGTTTTCAGGATTCTCTGGCCCGACCCGAGCCCGACTTTTTTTTTATCTTTCATAATGTTTTAGCGTGATAGAATGTTCCCCATTCTAATTATCTGTGGGAAGCGTTCTGCAGTAAAAAAAAAAAAAAAGAAAAGAAAAGGAAAGAGAAACAGCATTCATGCAGCTTTCTTTGCTAACAGAGCGTATTTTTCGAGCGGCAGATGAAATTTACGAACACTATATTAATTGGATGCGTTTGTAAATTTAATCTGCTCTGAAAATGCGCTCTTGTGCAATTAGAAAAAAAAGCAGCATTCTAATTTTCTAACTGCAGAGCGCATTTTCAGAGCGGCAGATTAAATAGATGCCCCCAATTAATAAAGCGTTTGTAAATTTAATCTGCCGCTCTGAAAATGCGCCCTTCAGTTAGGAAAAAACCCAGCAGTGAATGCTGTATTTTTTTTTAACTGCAGAGCAAATTTATTCACAGAAAAATAGAACGCTCCCGTTTTCATGAGAATAAACGAATGGTTTCTGACATCAAAGTGGACATAAAATGGCATATGAGAATAGGGGCACATGTTTCAATCAGCAGTTTGCAAATTTGTTTATGTAGGCGCATTTATAAACCACACAGACCTTAACTGAGCTAACGGTGCGTGAAAAGCAGGCAGGTGCTGCTGCGTGTGTTTCAGTTATTTTCATGAATTCGATTAAAAATCAAGGCGCCCGGCCCGTGTCCGAGGTAATTACACAGTCGTTGGTCCGAAGCCCGGCCCTTGGGCCGGGCCGACCCGCTGGCCTAGGGCTTCAGTGCAGAGCTCTAGTCAGGAGGCCCAGGAGCCGACCCGAAGAGGAGAAAATTAAAGCTCCGTAAAACCTTGTTGCACTAACGGAGCTAGTAATCCCTCATTTTAATCACATTTGCATTGTTACAAAACCATTAGCAATCGGACATTTATGCACTTTGCTAAGGCTAAAACAGGCTAACTTAACCGTTTGACATAGCATAAGGTTGAATGGTTCTATGGGGTGCCATTTGTAAAGTCAGTCATCATTTAGCAGCAGGTTTTTTTGGGGGGGGTAACTTATCCTATAATTAAAGAAAAAAAAGGGAGTTCACTTTTCTAAGTCATATTTTCACAATGTTTTGCATACATTCATAAATGTCAAAGTTCCCAACTATATATTTAGTTAGCAAGAAAAATATTGTATTTAGAGATAAATATTTATTTTACAAACTAAATATTTAGGCCAGATCTTAATATTTATTTTGGAAAAAACTTTGGGAAAATAATATTAAATTAAAACATTAAATTTGAAGCTAAATATTTAGTTTGTAAACTAAATATTTAGCTCCAAATGAAATAATTAGTTAGTACATAAAATATTTATTTTTGCAAACTAAATATTCGTCTCACCTAAATATATAGTTTGTAAGATAAATACTTAGCTCTAAATTAAATATTTTTCTTGCTAACTAAATATTTAGTTGGAAACTTTAACATTTCTATTTGTATGAAAAACATAGGTAAAATATGACTTTGAAAAATTAACTCCCATTTTTTCACTTTGTCTAAATAACCTAAAAAACTGCTGTTAAATGATGACTGCCCATATGCTACGCTAACCACTTAGCTCCAACACACAATAACTAAATCCCTTTTCATTCCCCTCCCCCTCTTCCACAGTTAGCTTGAACTTTAAAGACTGACATATAATGAAAAAGATTTAACTACTAGTATGCAATAAAATCAACATGTTTTATAACCTTTTAGTAAATTCTTTGCATTTTATCCCAACTTAGTTTTTTAATTTTAAAGTATTTTCTTCATCTTTCTGAATTTAGTTAAAGATGTTATTTATTAAACTGCTAAAAGAGGAGGAAGCTGTTCATAAACCCTCCAACTGATTTAGCAAATGCATGTAATTAGTGTTTCTCATGGTGCAGAAAATGAGAATTCAGCAGCTGACTACTGTGCCGTTTTACCCAGAATGCCTCACTCGGGGGACATATCCACCCATGGGCGACTGACAATGCTGCACCTGTGAGGTGATTAACATTTGGACCTGGTTTAGAGCGAGCTGAGACTGACTAGGAGGAGATCAAAGAGACCAAATATCACAGTTTAAATTTCAGACCGTAAGCTTCTGCCAGCTCTATGAAACGTACTCCACCGCTCCAGATTTAATGCATTTTAAATATCTGCTTAATGTCAAGTTTTATCCCAACACAAACCTCTTTTTAACACTTGGAAGACGCTTCACCTTGACTTTTAGACGCTTGGTATTTGCTCGTTTAAAAACCCAATACCTCTTTTCCTTTTCCTCGTTAGTAGAGGTCAGGTGATTATTTAATGTAAACACCAGAATGTTTCAACACTTTCACACTCCCAGCTGTGGTCTAGCCTTGCATAACACATTTTTAATCATCACTCAATTTCCATCTCTGTAACTTCCTCTCCTTATCATGAATGCATCTGATGGTGAAATGCACTCGCCGGCCACTGCATTAGGTACACCTGTTCAATTACCTGTTGAAGCAGAGATTTTCTCTGAACTCTTTAGACCTCTTCAGTACCAAGTGAGCATCGTTTGAATGCAGGAGTGTTGCTGCTGACCCTTTCCATCCCTTAGTGATCAGCGATGGATAAAAGCACCATGTCACAAAGCTCCAGTCCTCTTAAACTGGTTTTGTTAGTGTGGTCAATGAGTTCACTGGACTCGGCGTTGTCCACCGCCACCAGATCTTCATTCATTTGAGAGTCGCATAATTGATGTGCAGCTGATAAATCATGATGTTGTCATGGAGATATGAACCAAAATCACTGAGGAATGTGAATCACTAGCAAGTTTTCATTATATTTTTAATTCAGTTTTATTAAAGTCTTCAAAGCTGATTAGTTGGATATTTTAGGTTTAGTTGAGCAGCTTCACTTTAAATCAAAGCCTATTTTTGCCTGAGTGATGCTTTGAGGTGGAAGTTGTTGATTAGATCAGTTGTTTTCACTGCAGCTGTGACCAGAACCCTCGTGGTCTTCAGAGGAGATAAATCCACGAGCTGTCTGTCGGTCTGTGCTGCTGTAAACTAATGAACAGTAAACACGGAGGAGACAAGATACCGATCTGACTCCCGTGTGAACACGGAGGTCAGCCAACCGAGCATCACGGAGAGAGAGAGAGAGAGAGAGAGTGATGCGTCAGAGTGAAGGATGAGATGGGACTTCAGCTTCAGTGTGCAAAAAACCAAAAACAAAACAAGATCCTATCTTTATCAGAATCAGTCACCAGAATGAATGATGACGCTAATTTTAACTCTGCAAACCGCAGATAGACATCGCGATCTGCCTGTCTCTTCCTGCTAATGGTTCTGCTGACCCAGTTCATGCTCAGGACAGGAGAAATCTAAGAAATTATAAAATTTAAATAATCTGCTTACGGTTTCCTTAAAAAATTTAACAAATATACGGAACACTGAGTCTGTATTGATTATAACTAGGCTACATATCCTGCATGTTTAAAGTAACCCTTTATACATTTCCTGCTTCTCCCCCTACTGTTTAATAGTGGAATTACAACTGTCATAAACAACCTTGCCAGCCTGATGTCGCTAGCGCTAACAATGGTCTAATGCTAACAAAAGCCAACTGTATTAAATAAGCCATGAAGATCCACATTGTTGGACAAAAAATATTATTACTTACATGTCCAGTAGCAACAAAGCCAGGTCATCATCAGCCTCCTTTAGCTCCCTCAAGTACGTGTAGGACAAATACGTTAATCTCTTTCTTTTACTTCCAGGCTTCTTCATGATGCCAACAAAAAAGCGAAACTTCTTATTGCGCTATTTTTTTTTATTGATGGTTGGCAAACTATAAAAAAGCTAACTGCTAGCTTTCACACGAGCTACCTGCAGAGTAAAGCTGCTGGTTTAGTGCAGCTTCTGGTCAGCAGAGGGCTCTTCCATGTGAAGCTGCTCAAGCTTCTGGCTCAAAAATCACTGAAACCGGTTTGAAAGCAGCAGCTTAAAGTGTTAAAATCTTAGTGTTGCATTGAGATGATTCCAGCTTCAACACATTTCTTCTTAGACTTTCAGCTTCAGGTTTTCTGGTGCGTTTGACAGCTTGTCTTACATTGAAATCACCTCCTGGTCCCCCATCATAGGCCCTCCACCACTGTGAGGTTCTGCGTTGGCACCAACTGTAGCGCTGTGCACCATTACCACTTTGGTCTCATCTATCTAGAGGATATTGTTCTTAAAGATTCTGCAGGTTTTCCACGTGCATCTCTGCAGGCCAGAGAGCTGCTGTGGGATACTTCCTCAACACTGCGGTCTGATCAGCCTTCTACTTGTGTTTCTCCTGACTGCAGAGTGATGAATTTTAAGTATAAAGAAAATTACCTTAAAACGCTTCCCAGATTTAGTTTTATTTTAGTCGCAATGTGTTGACATACGCCCGTATGCTCCAGACCAGCAACCTGCTGACATGGTAGCTTTTACTGGGGCCACTACCCATTCTGATTCCTTCTGAAGGAATATTTAATCACCACCGGTTATGTTTTAAATCCCAACATAAGCAGAAGGAATATACTTATCTACACTCCTCCTTTGCATTTCCTCCTAGATGAATTTTTTCTCTTCATGCTCTTGCACACAAAGCTTTTCTTGCATTACTAGCTAGCATATTTTATGCACATGGTAATTTTTAGTAACAGAATCCTCCTGATTCTGTAATCTGTTTACAGAACGAGCAACGTTTGCAGCTGCAGAAGCCAAAAGGCCCTTTTAGGTTCATTTAACAGTTGTCGGGAGATTTGTAACACCCATCCATGTTTAAATTCTCACACCCTCTTCCTCTGTGTGACATTACCTCCCACCTCCTCTTCCTCAGGGCTCCTCATCCTCCGGTCGGACCCGTAGCTTCTCCCTTCTCCCCCACCTGACTTCATCTTCATCCCCAAGTTCCCAGAGGCACTCGGGCCAGTCGGCCTTGCCCAGCAACATCGTCACCATCACCCACCACAAATCTCCAGCTGCAGCTCGCCGAGCCAAGACTCAGTACCCGGGACAGCTGCTGGAGGTCAAGGAGGTGGGTGACGATAGCGAAACGAAACGCCCCAAAATTCCTAAGTATGAATTGAAGCTTTGTGTCTGGTATTTGTTTACATTTTTATTCAAAGTCATTAAGGAAGCGGGTCAGGCTGTGGTCACAGATCTGCTCCATGTGATCTTTTGTGTAGCCGAACCAGTTCATCATTCTGGAAGCGTCTCCACGGCCACGTATTCCCGATCCGGTTTTACTCACTAATCTGCTTGGTGTTTATTCCATCATTACTGCCTCCTCGCTGCAGCGAGTCAGGAAGTTCTTTAACAGTTTATTAGCTGTATCGGATGCAGCTCCTCCTAAAATCACAAGGGCTTTCATTGGAAAAAATCGAGAGATATGACCGGTAGGTCAAAGGTCACCAGCTATTTAAAGATTTATTGATTTTGCAAAAGTGAGTTAAACAATTTAATTAGGATGAGACTGTGGTGAGCAGACCGGCATCATGTTTGGACATGTTGTCTTATGTTGTAAATTCAGACACAAATAAAGGCACTTAGAGTTATTTCCAACCATTTAGAAGTTTATTTATGTTTAAAAGGCGTAAATAACTACTATCTTACCCATTTTTCAGCTCCCTGACTAGAATTTTCTCAAGAAATTGTATGTCCTACATGATTGATGAGCTAACTACTAGTCTCTTACCCTCATTCATTCATCTTCTGAGCTCGATTGACCCTCATTCGTCACTGGGTAAAAAAGTGGCGGACACCGTGGACATCCACTCTTGGGATGAAACCAGAGAAAAGCCACACATGCATGGTGAGAGCGCAGAAAGGCTGCAGCTGGGATTTGAACCTGCAACCTTCTTGCAGCGATGGGACCGTGGCCTCATTAGCAGTTAGTGCAGATATTCTATAAACTCTTTTTTTTTCATTTATTTAGCGTCACAGTCACACGGAGTTCTCTGGTTATTTATTATTATGATTAGTATTAATTAGACATGCTGCACAGCTTCTGGTTTTAAAGGCTGATACCGATTTCCTGGTCTTTATAGCGCTTACTTGATTTTGGTCAATTCTAATTTATTTAAAAGAACTTTGTCAACAAAATACAATTTTATTAAATGTTCTGATTAACTAGAAAATTAAGATCCTGGATGAAATAAAAATAGAATACGCTAAGAGACTTAAAACAAACAAGACTTTTAAAGGCCTGAGGGGGCAATCGCAAGCATAAAAATTCTAAAGTCCGAAAAGTCCCTTTAACTGGTGATCCAGGGTTTGTTATTAGCGAAGTATCTCACTGTTCTGGTGGGTATGATGTAGTCCACACAGACGTTTATATAGTCAGTGACACATCCAGTCATGGCATTGATGTCCTCTTCATATCCTTGGCAGAGAGTCATCCAATCTGTGGTCTCAAAACAACCCTGCAGGGCTTCTTCAGCATCCTGTGACCAGTTTCTCACAGTTCTTCTTGTCACAGGTTGCCTCTGAACAAGTGGTTTGTATTCTGAGCAGATAAAAACAAGACTATGATCTGATTGCCCCAGAGGAGGTCTTGTTTTGGACATATATGCATTCTTTACATTTGTGTAACACAAATCCAATGTCTTGTTTTCTCTGGTGGAGCAGCTGAAAAACTGTTGAAATGTTGGAAGAGTAGCAGAGAGCGAGACATGATTAAAATCACCAGATATAGCCACAAATGCATTGGGGTGCTGAGTTTGTAGCTTAGCGACAATGGAACTGATGGCATCACTTGCATTTTCAGCAATGACTGAAGGTGGAATATAAATGGTTGCCAAGACAACACTGGTGAACTCTCTTGGCAAATAATATGGGCGACAACTTACTGCCAAGAGTTCAACATCTGGGCTGCAGAGACGACATTTCACTGAAACATGACCTGGATGGCACCATCTGTTGTTGACAAGCACTGCCACTCTACCTCCTTTTCTTTTCAAATTCAATTCAAATTCAAAGAAACTTTGTTAATCCCAGAGAGCAATTAGTTTCAGTACACACAATTCTGAGATCAGTCATACATACATAGGCATAGACACATGAAAAGAATTGGTGACTGTGGTCATTCGCAACCCGAGTCGCGCTACCTTAATAGATATCAGAGGGTTTACATATGAGGATTGAGTCAGGTGGAGGAAAAAAAAGGCACTTCAGAGTTACCCTCCACAGGGAGGGCAGCTTTGCTATGCAAAAAACACCCCAGACAGAAATGCAACTCTTCAGATTGTCTGCTCGTACAGTCAGGAATCCTGGCAGAGAGACGCTGGAATCGGGGATATGGTCCTGCAGCCACATCTCAGTGAAACACATAACGCTGCACTGCCGAAACTCTGGCTGAGTCCTTGAAAGGGCTTGGAGTTCCTCCATTTTGTTGGCCAGTGATCTCACATTGCCCATTGTGATCGATGGAAGAGATGGTTTGAATTTCCTCTTTCTCTGTCTCCGTTTTGCTCCCGCTCTGCACCCACATTTCTTGCGTTTTAGCTCATTTGGGATTAGTGGCTTCAGTTGAGGTATTATTTCAGCCTTTCCGATGTTAATCAGCTGATCCCAATTGTAAACCAGCTTGTTGCCATGGCTACGCATCATAACAAATGCTCAAAAAGTGAAAAAAGTGAAAAAATAGCTGCAAAAATCCTCCAAGCTTCACAGCACCAGAAAAATAAAAATAAAATGTCCAAAAAAATACAGTTTTTCGTGAGAAACTAGAAGAAAAAAATGTCCAAGAAAATGCTAAACTTACATATAGTCAACAGAGCTACTCCAACATGCAGCCACCTAGAGCAGCACAGTTCCTTTACATGGATCGACGTCCTGCCTCATGCTGAGGTTCTCCGGGACATTTTCTAACTGGAACATTTATGAACACTTTGTAATTCCAGACTTAAACATCATCTTTAGTTTGGGATGTTGTTCACATTTAAAGTCAAAGGTCATGTTCCCAACTGTTTTGATCTAGAACACGTTTACTGTGACACTTGACTACAGAGATGGTTGAGTAGGTGGGAGGGTTGATTGTACTTAAACAGATGGCAGACTTTATGTTAAACCAAGCAAAAGGCTGGTAGCATTACAAGTCTTTAGCTCTCTAAACATATGCCTGCAGTGTGTGTGAATTTGTCCATCAGGATTATACGTTTAAATTCTGCTCATGTAGGATGGTCTAGAATATTCTCTGCTCAAGGAGATAAGGAGGCAATGAAGTTCCTTTTCTTGGGCGTTTAGAGAGGTTTACCAGCTTCTATTAATCCGGGCCCACATATGGATTTCTGAGGGCGTGTGGAGAATCGGGTTTGGCCTCCAGTTGACGTGTGCTAGTCGCTGCTGGAGAATTTCAGCTACAAGCTGAAATACGTGACAAAGATGCTGAAATGCACAGTTTAAAAACCAGAATGAATACCTCATCAGCATCTGTGAACGAAACCATCCCTGTGAGGAAAGGCTTACCTGTTCTGTACCCTCGTCAGTGTCTGAGACGACGTGATCCAGCTGGGTCCCTACAGATGCAAGGTTCATCTCGTTTGTCCGCCTGCGTCTGACATGTCAAATATGTCTTCATTTCTAAAATGCATCCAGCAGAGGAGAGGAGGAACAAGGACGCACACCTGTCACATGTAGTGTCGCGTCGTGAGTTAAGCATGACCATGGACTCGTAGGACGACTCGGGATGATGCAGCTTTGTATTTAATTGATGGTTTAACAGAGCTTAAAGCGTGGAAGTCTGATTCTCCTGCTCATGTTTCTGCTGTTGGGAGGGGATAACAGTGTGCGGAAAGGAGCCGAGAAGAGGAAATTAGGATGTGCACTTTGGGAAATGAGATAAGAGGATAGAAGTGTAATGATGTTGTTATGAGAGTGCATGTTCTCCCATCCCCTGTGTGACTGCTGCTTCCTGCTCATGAGTTCTGTTTTGGCAGCTGGTCTTAAAAAAAAAACACTGAATAAACTTTTTTTAGGCCTTTTGGTTAAAAAAAAGTTAAGATTGTGATGAAAATCCTAACAGATCCGCTTATTCCCTCAGATGGAACGTAATTGCATATTACGGTTTTTAATTCTTGTTTGATTTCCTCGCTGTTATTTTCTCAGATCAAATTAAATCTTTAAGGCATTTATTTCCTCGTGTCTTTGCTCCAACACGCCCGATTAAGACATCAATAGCTTGTCGTCAACAGGAAGCTAATAATGAGCCGTTGATGCTGCCTTAAAGGTGTTGAGACGTCAGAGTGGAGTGGTGACAGCTGTTTTTTTAATGATAACTCGGTAACTGGGTTTTAATTGAACCTGTTTGTTAGATGAGTTGTTGTTAGTTCATCCTTCTACTTGGCCTCATTTATTTATGTTTGGTTTGGCGTCCGTCCACTCACTGCGCTGTGACTGCTGGTGGCACAGCATTGGATACAAACCATGATTTTTCTTTTTGGTTTAACATCGGAGGGCAAAAACAAACCGTGACCTTTGAGTCCAGCAAGGAGGACGTCAAAGAGCCGCGCCTCACCTGACACTCTCTACAGGTGTGGATCGATGCGCAGTGAAGCATGCGAATAAACCGTTCACCGCTGATGCCTCCAGTGTGGATTTGGGGTTCGGCTCAACCCGCCTTTCCACCGAATGCGTAAACATCGCGTAACATCTACGAAGCGTAGTACGAAGGTAAAAACTGCTGTTATAGCTGACGGGTGTGTTTCCACCGCCCGCTAATCGCTTTGCTACGCTTCCAGAACGCATCTAGCTCAGCAGTTCAGTTCGGACCAGACAGGAAGTCAAACACGGGAGCAGTAAAAACATCTTGCCGCTTCCAAAATAAGACACGTGCAGATTTCCAGCTGCTTAACTAGTAAAAAAAAAAAAAAATGGCAGAAGTTTAACCTTCATTGGTTTTCTCTGGTAACCAGACACGTCAGTTCTGTTGACTTCCACTTCATCTCCAGATGCTCAGAGGACTCATTTATTCTTCTTCTTATCTTTCCGGGGAAGTTTTCTTCTCTCACTTCTTAATGGCACGTCCACACTTGGTTT